CAACGCAAGGAAGGAGTGGAGGTCCAAGAAAAGTGTATGCTTATCATGACGGCAGAAGGGGGCGCACCCAAATGGATGCCCAGTACAAAGGAGCCGCTGGAGGTAGTGTTGCTGCCCGGCAAAGAGCAGGAAACTCGCATAAGAGTGCAGTGCTGCCTTACCGAGTCAGATGACTATGACTTGCTGCTCGGCATGGAGCTCTTGTACAAGGTGGGAGCCAATATCTACACTTGGCGCGAGCAACTGCTATTCCGCACTGAATTCTGGGAGGAGGATAGGCCGTTGGGAGAACTACCGGTAAGATTTGTGAAGACAGAACCGAAGAAGGCGTGGAAGGCAAGTACGGAGATGCCCAAGCCTGGATGGGGGAAAAAGGGAGGAGAGGGCAGAGTAAGGGAGGGAGCCGACGGATTAACGGGGCCGAAAGTCTTGAAAGCTCAAGGGGTGACCCTGGTGGAGCTGTTCGGGGGGTTGGGAGCAGGACTGGCAGCAGCGCTGGAAGCGGGGATGGAGATAAAGAGATGGATATATGTGGAGATTGATCCAGTGGTGAGACGGATGGCGTGGGAGCATGCGAGGCAGCTGCAGGATAAGTATCCGGCTCAACTCCATAGGCGGGTGATAAAGGAAGCAAGACAGGGGACGACGTGGGACGTCAGAGAGATTACCAAGGAGATGGTGCTCTCCTGGGGAGAAGTAGATCTGCTGGTGGCTGGATGGGAATGCCAAGGCACTTCACGAGCGGGCAAGGGAAGGAGATTACAAGACGAGAGGACAGCACTGCTGAGCAAGTTGCTGGAAATCATGGCCTGGATGAAGGAAGGGAACAGCAAGTATGCCTATGTCATTGAGCATGTGGACATGGAGAGAGACATGCGGGAGCCGGTCAGGGAGGTGAAAGAGCTGGTGGAAGCCTGCCTGGGAAGGAGCGTGAGCTGGGATGGCGCACAGTCGGGAGCTAGGTGCCATCGCGTGCGCCGCTTCTGGCAGAACGTGATACCTGGAAGGGAGCTGAAGGATAGAGTGGGGAGGGTGGCGCAAGAGCAAGACAGGACAGTGCAAGACATCCTAGAACCAGGGAGGGTGGCGGCGGAGGTGGTTAAACGAGACCATCCGAGACAATATCAATGCAATCGGGTGGGGGAACCGTGATGCGCCTGGCCCACGCTGGTGGCGTACCCGAAGGCGAGAGGATTCGAGGAAGAAGAGGGGGAACCAGGGCCAGGCATGGTGTACGACCACAACAAGGCTGGGTGGGAGGAACCAACAGCGATTGAGAGAGGGCAAGCAATGGGCTATGCTCCGGGGGCAACGGCAGCAGTATGAGTGTCAGAACAAGAAAGGAGGGCGGCAATTGGCCGGGCGATAGATCTACACTCACTCACTTGGCTGCTGAAGGAGATGCAGCAGGGCAGGAGGCAAGAGAGACAGGAGGGGACACCGGCGTTTGCAGCAATGAGGTCAGCTGCAGAGGAAGAGAGAACCTGGGAGCTGGGGGCAGACTTGAGCGTGGAAGTGGCGGCAGGGATACAGGAGACGTTGAAGCAGCACAGAAAAACCTTCGCGTACACCCTGCAGGAACTGGGCAGGTACAAGGGGAGACAGTTAGCGATTAACCTCACAACGGAGGTGCCGATCTACCAGCGGAAAAGGCGAATGAATGTGGAAGATCTGAAGGTGTGCACTGAAAAGTGTGAGGAGCTGCTGGCAGCAGGACTCATACGACCCTCGGAGTCAGACTACGCAGCAGCCACCGTCGTAGCAGCCCGCACGGACCTGACCGGAGAAGTACTCTCGAGGAGAATGTGCGGTGACTACCGCGAGCTCAACAAAGTCATGAAGCAGGACCGGTACCCGATGCCCTCAGCCGAAGAAATTTTCTATAAGTTGGCCGAAGCGGTGATCTTTTCTACATTAGATATGAGGCAGGGATTTAACCAGATAGAGATCCGGGAGGAAAACAAAGGAAAACAGTGTTTCACGGGCCCAATGCGCTTTACGAATCGAACACCATGCCATTTGGGATGCGCATCGCTTTAGCCGTGTTTCAGCGGGTGATGGATCAAGTGCTGAAGGGAATACCATCGGCAGCCTGTTACATCGATGACGTGCTGATCTTCAGCAGCAGTGACGAGCAGCACGCACGAGACTTGAAGACAACCCTGGATGCAATAGCAGCTGCCGGACTCACCTGTCATCCAGGAAAGTGTAAGATAGCGAGGAGAGCAGTGGGATATCTGGGATTTGAGATAAAGGGAGGGAGAATCGGGATTCAGGAAGCCAAGGTCGGAGTGTTGGACCGGCTGGAAGCACCCAAGGATAAAAGTGCGCTGAGGGCCCTATTGGGCTTCTTGAACTATTACCGGCGCTTTGTGCCGAACTTCAGCAAGAGAGCATACTGTCTTAATCAGATACGGAGGGAAGGGAAAGCATGGGAGTGGGGGGAGACAGAGGAGGCGGCAAGAAGGGATCTGTTAGATGCGGTCAAGACAGGGTCCCTTCTACAGATACCAAAGGAAGGTGCTCCCTTCGTGCTGTACACGGATTGGAGCAAGACGGGAATGGGAGCGGTGCTTTGCCAAGAGGTGGGAGGAGAGGAGAGGGTGATAGCATTCGCGAGCCGCAGCTGCAGCCCAACCAAGGTGAATTACTGTTCATACGAGGGAGAGGGGCTGGCAGTGGTATGGGGAGTGTGTCACTTCCGCGTATACCTGCAAGGAGTGCAGTTTACTCTTGTCACCGACCATCAACCACTGCTGTGGTTGATGAAGACTCCGCTGCTGACGGGGAGGAACGCACGGTGGGCCATGCAATTGCAGGATTTTGACTATAAAATCAAGCACAGGGCCGGGAAGACCTTACAGCACGCAGACGGACTCTCACGCAACCCTCCAGCAGAGAACCCCGCCGCACAGCTAACAGCTGCCGCTCTGGGGGCAGCCGGAAATGAAGCAGCGGGCAGAGGAGAGAGTAGAATGGCAGACATATGGGATGACGAAGAAGCGATCGCTTGGATTCGGGGGGAGCAGAACTTGGATGAGCCGACCTCAGACAGGGCACAGGCTAGAGGGCAGCATTATCGGTGGGTGCAAGAGCAACTGCAGCTGAAAACCCAGGATGGGTGGAAGGTGGTGCCACAGAAACATGAGAGGCGGAAGATCATCAAAGGGGTGCACGACAAGTTGGGGCATTATGGCGGGGCCCGCACGAGACAGCTGCTGAGTACTACATACTGGTGGGAAGGCATGCGGCGAGAAGTGGTGGTATGGGTGGCCAACTGCACCGCATGTCACAGGAACAAAGCCACGCTGGAGAAAGAGAGAGAGGAGTTGAGCTCACTGCCGATCCGCGGGTTGGGATTCAGGTGGTCACTCGACTTGGCAGGGGAGCTGCCCCTATCACGCCGCGGGCAACGTTACATCTTAGTGATGGTGGAGCACACCTGCAAATGGGTAGAGGCGAAGGTGCTGCCGAGCAAGAACAGCGGATTAATCGCAGAGGCATTTCGTGATCATGTGATAGTGCGGTTTGGGGCTTGTGGGGAGGTATTGACAGACCAAGGGACCGAGTTTCAAGGACAGTTCGAGGATCTGCTTCAGGAGATGAAGATAGCACATTGCAAGACGTCCCGTTACCATCCACAGTCAGACGGTTTGACAGAGAGGCTGATTCAGACGTTGAAGAAGGGCCTCACGGTGTACAACGAGCAACACAAGCGTGATTGGGATGAGGAGCTGCCGTGGGTGTTAGCTGGGTACAGGTTTGCCAAGCAAGCAGCGCTTCGAGATCTCTCACCATACTACATGCTGTAAGGCAGAGAACCAGTCCTACCTATAGATGCTCCCAAGCTATTGGCCGCCACCATCAGCACGGACAGGGCAGACGACTGGGCAGCACTGGCCCACCGCAGGGCAGAATATCTCAAGGAGCTCATGCCCGCGGCTCTAGAGAATCTGCACGTAGCTCAACTGCGAGATGCCAAGAGGTATGAGCAGAGGAAGGAGGGTGGCAAGGAGCGGCAGGACAAAGGAGTGGAGGAAGGAAGGGAAGTGTACTTGCGCCGGCCAAAGGGTGACACTCTGGACATGGCGGTTGGAGCAGAGCGATGGAGGGTCAAGGAAGTGCGACCATCAGGGGTGCTGGTATTGACAGACGAGAAGGGGAGGGAGCAACGAGAGCATGTGACCAACGTCGCAGTGGCAGGGAAGGCAGTGCCCAAGCTGACGGGTCCCGTGACCAGAGCCGTTAAGGCACAGGAGGGGGCAGGGATGCATGGACACTGAAGGGGAAGAGGGGAAAGAGATGGAACCTGGGACAAGGAAGGGGGAAGGAAGAGAGCAGAGAAGGGAAGATACGATGTGAGGAGAGAGGGAAAGCAAGGAAGTGCAAGAAGAGCGCAAGGGTGGAACAGAGGGTGAGGTCACGACAGCTGTCGCACTATTAAGCTTGGCTATGAGCCATAGCTGAAATATTGCAGCAGCAAGGGTAAGTTTGTTGTGTTTGTTTCGGAAAAAAAAAAAAAAAAAAAAAAAAAAAAAAAAAAAAAAAAACACACACACACACACACACACACAATGTTGACAATACCAAGGCCGCCATGGCCGAATCCAGGGACTTCGGAGCTCTCAATGTCCATCAATTTCTTATCAGTTAGCCTATTAAAGCCTAGATATGTGATCGCAACGACATTAAGAAGCCAGCGATACACTTTTTGTGTTCAAACAGCGAACATTGTTATCAAAGGCCTACTGTCGGGCAGTTTCAAGGCGAGTGCTAACTCAGGTTTTGCAAGGACAACAGGAGCTACCAAGGCTCAAGGGATTATCCAGGATCCAGCTTGGTGCAATAGTCCTCTCGAGGCGATACAGAAGGTGTTTCAAGATTTTATATACCCCAGCGGATACAATGACAGACACGATTCAAAGCGGGAGCGTCCCGTGTTCAGTCTGCTTGCTCTTTCAGCTTTCTTTCTACTGTTTCTAGTGTCGCATCATCACACGATGGCTCCCCGTGATGCTAATGTGCCGGCTGCTGCTGCTGCTGCTGCTGGAGGAGTCCTGAACAAGCAGGGCTCGGAACCTGTCACGCCGAGGACGCTTTTCAACGGAGTTCAGGGGCCTTTTGGAGCGGAGGCCGTTAATGAGCTGTCAGCAAGGACGTCGGCGCTCAGGATCAATGATTTGCCAGAAGAAGGGAAGGACAAACGCGCGTCAGCGAGTGTGACGCAGACGGCTGCACCTGCTGTCCAAGGCAAAGTTAAGGATGCGGTCAAGGAAGCTGAGGAGGAGGATGGTTACCTCAGCGACGACCCTGATGAGTGTCAGGGCCCGGACGCGGTCAATGACATTGCGTCTCAAGCGGGGTTCGCCATCACGCTACTCATCCCGGCCAAGTGGATCGAGGAGGTTCCACGCATGATGGATACGGTTCGCGGGCTACTCCTGCTGTGGGAAGAGCACCTGACGGAGAACATGAAGGTCACAACGAAGTGTCATAAGCTCACGCCGACGTGGCTCTCGAAGGAGCGCTTTGGCCGGATTCAAGTGGTTTTCGCGCGCGCGGCAGACGCCAATTTCATGTAGAGCAGGAAGGTGGAGCACGTGATGGCGAACAACCTCAGACTGACGCTCGGATGGCAGCACCCGGAAAACCAGGAGTACCTGAAGGAGCGGTCGTTGAAGTTGGATGCCATTGAGGTGCTGCTGAAGAACGTTCCGGCCATCATCACGCCAGAGATGATCCGGAAGAGTCTGGTGACGGTGATCTGCTGAAGCGCAAGCGCACGGCTTTCCTGGAGGGTTCGGCTTTCCACAGAGTGCTGGATCCGGTGACAGGGTCGGACACGGATAAGATAAAGGGGTTGGTGTACCGGCACCCCGGGGATAAGTATAAGTGGTGGCATAGGGTGACGGATAAGATTCACGGCACAGTCTTACTTGTCCCTTTCCCTACCCTCACTTGTGCCTTCTGCAACGGCATGCACATGTCGTGTTTTCATGATGAGTACGTGACGGAACGGCAGGACAACTTCACGAAGTGGAACTTACCGTTGGCGCGTGTTCACGAGATGAATGGTAATCATGCCTGCTCGAGTTGTGCTTTTCAGGTCACTGCGGCCGCTGGAGATCCAGCTCACCTCTGTACCACCTCCCCTCCAAGCAGCGGCCTCCCTGAAGCTGACCTCAGCTACAAAGGCCATTATGGAAGACCCGGCGGTGGTTTTCACTTCTACCAACGGCGCGCGGGAGGAGTGGCTGTGTGTCCAGGAGGGATGCGGGAGGGCCCATGACGTCAGTTTCGCGAAGGCGGCAGAGCACGCGGCCTCGGTCATGCAGTGCACCGAGCGCCTCAAGGCGGGATCGGCGACACGTCAGAGCAGGGGGAAGATGAACCTCCTGGCGGTCAAGAAGGAGTTCGGGATGTGAAGCAAGAGAGAGACAGACACGGCTCCTGCAAGCCAATACACAGTTGCAAGGCAACAGCTGCAGGCAGGAATCTGAGACAGGTGAAAGAGTTAGCAACGGCAGTAGGATCATGTGTGTACACTCTGCGCAATAAAGCCCGTGGATGCGAGGGGCTCATGTCATGGTTGATCAATGGATAAAAACTCAAGTATAACCATTTTCGGGGTCAACGTGAACGACCTCGGCAGCAACGGCAAAAGAATCAAACATCGGACCTGGATGCGGAAAGCAGCAGACATAGTAGTGATGTCGGACACAAGAATCAAAGAGGACCATAACTTCTGGTCCCAACTAAAACCAACGGCGTGGGCGACGGCGAGCACAGAGAAGGGAGCAGGAGGGGTGGCGATTGTCTCCTTCCAAAAGCACATCCGTTTCAAGGAGGTCACATCTCATCACACAGGAAGGCTGCTGGGGGTTACAGTGGAGGGGGGTGAGACGGTTTTCAGGCTGGTAGCGGCATACCTTCCAGCACAGCTGGGCAATCGGACAAAATTTCACACGGAACACCTTGTACCCTTCACGCAAGCTCCAGAGCAAGCGGCGGCGACACACCTGGTACTAGTAGGAGACCTTAATATCACTGCAGATCCAGACTTGGATAGATCATCAGGGACAGGGTCCGGCAGAGAGAATCAGAGACTGCTGGACGCGTGGCCGGGACACGATCTCAAAGACGCGTTCAGGGCGCTGAACCCGGGGCTGCGAGAATACACCTTCCATGCGAGGCCGTCGGGCACGAAAACCAGGATCGACAGAGCATTGGTGTCGACCTCGCTTCTGGGACAATTGAAGATAGCGGAACATGTGCGGGTGCCGCCGAAGCTATCCGACCACCGCTTCGCCATCCACGTGAGCCTCAATATTGAGTCCTCGCAGAGTTGTGGCCGGGGGATCTGGAGACTCCAGGCGACACGAGCGAACAGGAGGGGAGTCAGAGAGGTGATTAAAAAGATAATGGGGGGACCGCGGGGGAGCAGCCGGAATCTGGAAAACAATCTACCGCGTTTGAGCGCGGCCCTAAAAGCACATGAGAAGGAGGAACGGAAGAGAGCTACGGCCACTAAAAGGCATTTGGTGGCAGAGGTAACAAGGCTGAATCACCTGGTCATGGCGGGTCCCATAAATGCGGGTACGAAGGAGAGGCTGCTGGCGAGAGAGGCGCAGCTGGAGGGGTACGAGGAGAGCGAAAGAAAAAGAATGCAGGTGCTTGCGGGTCTGGATCTTGAACTACAAGAAGAAATCCCATCGCCGTACCTCTCTGCCAAGGTCAAGATAAGGAAGGAGAGAACGATTATCAAGGAAGTGAAACACAAAGGGGAGCGGTTCTACGGCTCACAAGAGGTGCTGAAGGCAGCAGCGGCGCACTTTAAGGAGGCCTTTAGCGAGCAGGCAGGGGCGTGGCATCAGGAGAGGGGAACGGTGGAAGTAGCGAAACGATTACCAGAGGAGGCGATGAGAAGACTCAGCGCCCTAAGGACGGCGGAGGAGGTGAAAGAGGCACTGATAGGGTTACCGAGTGTGAGAGTACGACGGCTTATGCTGGCTTTGCTATCTTGCCTAGACTTCATTATGCTATATATCTAGCTTGGGTTTTATTTATCATGCATAGATATGCTTGATTTCCTAGGTTAGGTGCATTCCTATATTTTATTATAGTTATAGCACCGAACCAGGTTACGTGTGCCGAACTCAAGCCTTTTCAGTTGCCACCGAATTGCTTTCTACTGAGTTCGGGAAGGTTCTGTTCGGGACGCTTCGCGACCCTCGGAACATTCGCGTAAGACCTGGGTAACTGGCCTTGTGTCGAGACTATATATAGCCTCGTGTTGTACCCAGGTGAATCATTCAATTCAAACTCTCTTTCCTGAGCTCGATCCTAGATCCCCACGCTTGGTATTCAGAGCTTGTTACACCCGAAGTTTTCGACCGCTAAAACTAGCTTTTAAAACCGCGGGGGCGACGACGGAAAGCGCCGATTTCGGGGATGTAAACCAGTTCCGCGCTATTTTCTAACCACCCCTCAAACCGGTTTTCGAACACTCCTCAGGTCCAGTGGCGAAAATGTTGGAATTTCGACCGTCAGATCGATTCGAATCTCAACGGCCCTGAGAATTTCGCCAAAAAGTTGGAATTAGGAGCGTCGGATCGAGTTTCTTGTCAACGGCCGAGATCGGACGCGAATTTCGCTTCAGGGAGAATTACCCGACCTACAGAATCAGCGCTCGTCATTTCTATAGTTGATTCGACTCACAGTAAGACGACCAGCGCCTAAAATTCCATTATTTTCGTCGCAAATCTTCCTGCAAATCGCCAAATGGAGGAAAATGGTGATAATTCCGTACGAAAAAATACGGAGTTACACACCGGCCTGGACCAGACGCGAGCGGCATTCCAGTGAATAGAGGAGCTTCTCGCGAACCAGTCGGCAGCCGCCACGGCAGCAGCAAATGCAGCGGCGAATGCAGCAGCGACGTCAGCAGCAGCAGCGGCGACACCGACACTTCACACAGCAGCAGCGGCAGCGGCTACAGTGAATCTTGAGGTGGCACGTCCGAGGCAACCAGAGACATTCAATCCGAATGCGAGAGACACTGACGTCCGCCGATTCATTGCAACCCTCGAAATTTACTTCGAGGCCGTTGGCTGTACGACCCCGACAGACGATGCAATGCGGATTCGGCTCGCAGCGACACTGTTACGAGGCCCGGCGCTCGAGTGGATTTACAATAGCAACGAAGTCCGAGGCGAGGGGTCATGGACGCAGTTTCGGGAAGCTTTAATTCAACGTTTCGAACCAATCAACTCCAGCTACATGGCGCGGCAGCAGATTCATCGGCATAAACAGTACGGCAGTGTAACACAGTACACGCAGCAGATGGAGAGCCTCTTCAACCGAATTACCGACCTGACCGAAGGGGAAAAAATCCAAGCGTATACTGAGGGGCTAAAAATGGAAGTTCGGCAACAGGTGATTGCCGCGAACTACAACAACTACCGCGACATGGTGTGTGCAGCAGCGAGATTCAATGCGTTGATGCAAGATCAACCCAAAACACGACGACGCGTGCCGAACAGATCATTCGGCACGGAGCGATCGGCACCACCCACGACCGCCGACCCGATGGATATCGACAAGATCGACGCGAAGCAACGGCCGACAAAATGTGAGAAGTGCGAATTTTGCGGCGCAGCAGGACATCGACTCTTGGCGTGTTGGAAAATGAAGAAGGCACGAGCGGAGCTGCAGGGCAACAACAGTGCGACATCCACGATGGCGAAAAAAAGGAGGACACGATGGCGCGAATTTAAAACGCCACGACCGGCTGGCAACAGAGGAAATCGCCGAGACAAATGGAGGCTCCGCGAAACAAGACTCTGCACCGACCGGGAAACTCCAGCCGAACACCACCAAGAGTAAGAATATTCCCTCTCGAGGTTTTCAAGCCTTTAAACAATTCAGGGGAGATTTCGAGGCCAAGAAAAAGCCTTCAGACATTATTCAGGTACCTGAGAAGTTGGGCAAACCACTCCGGAGCGTTGAAAAGGGTCGTGCGTTCCAAGGAGTTAATATTCTCTCCCCGCAGCATAGTGTTAAGGCTCTCCATTGCCCACACGAGAAGCCTACACAGCTCGAAAGGCTTAAGGGAAGGTTCCAGGCCAAGACGAAGCTGAATCGGCCTCGGATAAATCCTTCTAACCCAACTCAGTTCAAAACTGATATGGAGTCAGCAGCTTCGAGCGCAGGACCGAGGGATGATCTATTCGACGTACCCTACGATCCTATAAGCGAGACCATCTACGGTTACTCAGAGCAGCAACAACCACTACTTCTCGAGGTGATCTGCAACGGGCGACGCCTCCAGGCACTGGTGGACAGTGGTGCATCCTACTCGGTGTGCGACCGCGGGACGTTGGAGAAAATTGGAGAACCTTCGGAGGAGACCAAGTTGACGGCAACGATGGTGGACGGTACGAAACTTCCCATCCACGGCGAAGCATCACTGCAGCTGCACATAGGGGCGCTAAGGTGGAAGCCGCCATTGCCGATTACGAACATCAAAGGTTTAGATTTCATCTTGGGGCGAGATTTCCTGAAGCGGTTCAACCCCGAGATCGACTGGGTCAACAGGAAGGCGCGCATCTACAACAACGGGAAACGAGTGGAGCTGCGAAGCTGGACGGATACAGGGAGCATTCCCGAAACGACACTAACACGGTTCGAACGGACAGTGAACGAGAGTAACACGGGTTACTTAGCACTGGTTATGGCAGCAGTAGAGGAGGAGAAGCTGAGTACGGAGCTACCTGTAGCAGTGAAGGAGGTCTTGGAGCAATACAAGGATATAATGCCGACGACCTACCTGCAGGCGTACTTCCAGCACGCACCCACGAGCACGAGATCGTGGAGGAACCAGGTGCAAAACCCGTCTCATGTGCACCATACCGACTGAGTCCGACCGAACTGACAGACATGAAGAAACAGATAGAGTATCTACTGGACAGACAACTGATCCGCCCATCCACCTCTCCCTACGGTGCACCAGTACAAAACCAGACGGCAGTTTACGAATGTGCATCGACTACCGCGCACTGAACAAACAGACAGTTAAAAACAAATACCCCATACCGCGCATAGACGACCTACTGGACCAGCTGTGTGGTGCAACAGTCTTTTTGAAGCTGTACCTACGGTCGGGTTACTGGCAGATCAAGATGGTGGACAACTCGATCCACAAGACGGGGTTTGCAGCCCATCGCCTACCTCAGTAAGAAGCTACATGGAGCAGAACTAAACTACTCCAATCATGACAAGGAGGCCTTAATGATAGTCATAGCCTTCAAGGCGTGGAGGTGTTACCTAGAGGGAGCAAAGACTACAGTCTATACTGACCACTGCAGTCTCAAATACCTGAAGTCGCAGCCGATGCTCTCACGACGACAGGTGCGGTGGGTGGACTTCTTGGAAACTCACTTCCACTACGACATCGTCTACAAGCCCGGGCTATACAACAAAGCAGACGCGTTGAGCCGCCCCGGACATGTAGCAGGCATCCAGCTCGACGGGATGAACCCTCTACTCAAGGGTCTATTCCAACATGGGTACTCCGTGGACGCAGAGATCGCTACAGCACAGACTAAGAAGCTGTTACAGTGGAAGAAAGACTTAGCTGTAAGGAAGGGTTCAGGAAAGATTTGGGTACCGAATTACGCCCCGCTACGGCAGATCCTATTGGAGGAGTTTCACGACGTACCTTACGCGGGACATTTCGGGAGCAACAAAACGTTAGCAGGGATAGCAAAGCATTACTACTGGCCCGGGATGGCAGCAGACGTGCAGCAGTTCGTCACCTCATGCGACACGTGCCAGCGGATGAAGAGCAGCAAGCAGAAAAAAGCAGGGTTACTTCAGCCTCTACCCGTTTTTTTTTTTGGCAATGCAAGATCCACTATAGCAGTGCATACAAGCATTAACAGTCGTAACTGTAGCCGATGGGCCTAGATAGCAACCAGCCATCGTACCCATCCTGAGACTTTACGGGGGACGGAAGATCGTGCGTGGGTTGGCCCAGATGGAGGTGAAACCACTGGTCCACGCAAGCGACTTCGCCGAGCTGTCACAAACCCTAGTCAAAAGCCGAAATTCGTCCGGGCTCAGCCGTTCCAACATAACACCCGCTTCTTTGCTTCCTTTCTTCGCCCGAAGGTTAACCCTCACATGCGTGTAAAAAGTTGCCGCAATTTTACGCAGCACCCTCCTCGACCGGAACTGGCCCCTCTCAAAGGCCGCATCACATCTCTCCACCCAGATCTTATGCAACGCGATCGCAGTAAGCGTCGCCTCGGGGAAACCCGACTTTGAGCCCTCTTCCTGGTAGAGTAGATCCCCCAACGACTTGATCCTCCTGCCCGGGTTGATCATCCGGAGTGCCCTCAGCAACCCATGCACCACTGGTTGGATACGAGGACAGCTAAATAGACAGTGCTCCGCTGTCTCTTCCGCTCCACAGTGTGGGCACGCCACCCCTTCCAGAAACTTCAGCCGCACCCCAACCTGAAGGTTGCGACAGTGCAGCCTGAGCACGACATCCCGCGCCCGGTTCGGCAAAGCCACGGAGTCCCGTACCTTGATCGTCCGTTCCCAGTTGATGGGCCTCCCCCACTCCTCAGCCCACTTTTCCTGTTGCAGCGCCACTCCCTGTTGCGCGCCAAACATCAGCCTCAACTGTCTGAAGGGAGGGATCTGGTCGCCCGCGCACAGCTCCGAACATCGCAGCCGTACCTCCGTAACCCCCCCGCCCCCACCACTTTTCCCTTCCGCATCATTAACGGTACCACTTCATCCAAGTCCAGGACCACAGGTGTCCCCGCAATCCCAACCAGTGGAACCCCAAAGCAGTCACATGCTCTGCAGGCCAAACCCTCCTGCACCACATTCTCCACTTTCCAGACGCCCACCACGCCTGATTTTTTCACGAACGCTGACTCCGCCAGGAGTTCCGCCCCCGTAACAGGCGCGAAACAGCTTCTGCTTCCAGGAGTCCGGCACGCTGCCGAAAATCTTAAGCGCCTTCCGCGCCTTCTTAAGCGTGCCAAGTTCCTTCTCCAGCAAATTTTCGTCTTTGAAAAAGCGCGTACCATCCTTTGCCAGGCCGACAAAATCGCCAAGCTGAACCAGCTCCAAGCCCGTCGCCGCCTTCTGTCGCCCCACCGGTTTCTTCCCGTTCGGCAAGATCTGCCGATTAAACAACAGTGGCTCCTGAGCGATGTCCCACCGCGATAGTGGCCCTTTCTTTGCAATGTTTGACTTCATGAAAGCCTCACAAGTCTGCTTCCACCTCACACTGCGCCCCTTCCAGGATTTCAGGAACTCCTCATGCGCCCAAAAGGAGCGGAAACCCGCCGGGAGATCTGCCACTTTCATCGCCAGCCATCTGCGGATCCCCCCGTTGTTCAGTACCAGAAGGCCCACTCGCCTTGCCGCCAGCCCGCTGATTTCAACGAACGGATCACGCACACCCAGCCCGCCGTCCTTCCGCGGCCTGAAGATCAGCTCCCTGCTCCAGAGCGTAAAGTGTTGCTCCATCGACGCCCGATTCCCCGAGACGAAATCCACGATCAGCTTCATTATCCGCTTCCACACCTTCTCCGACGGGGGATAGACTTGGCCCTGGAAGGCTAAGATTGGGCAGACATACGCGTTAATCACTGCCACCCTCGCCGTTGTAGTAAGATGCCGCGACTGCCATTTTGTAAGTTCCTCTGCTGCCCTTGCGAGCGTCTTGTCCCAGGTGATATCCGCATTCCCCGACGGAGAGACCCAGATTCCCAGCAATCTCTCCGCGTCCTTTGGAAAAGCCTGACTCCGCATCTTTTCCTTTTTCCAGGTTCTTCCCCAACGGGAGCAACGCCGACTTCTCCTTGTTGACCTGCAGCCCTGAGCGAGCTCCGAACTCCTCCAAGAGCTCTTGTGCACGCCCAACTTGACGCTTCCCCTTCAGAATCAACGTTGTGTCATCTGCATACCACAGGTAAGCAAGGCGATCCCCGTGATCATCGCAGACGCCTAACTTCCTGCGCTTTGCCTCCTGGCAGACGGGCTCCACCGCGCACAAGAAGAGATACGGCGCCAGTGGGCACCCCTGCCGTACCCCCTTGCGGACATCAACACGGTCGCCCAGCCAGCCGTTGACTAGCAGCCGAGTGAAGGACCCCCCGTGCAGGCCTCTGCACCAACCAACAAATTTCTCCGGGAATCCCATCAGCGCCATTGTGTCGAACAGGAAGGTACGCGACATCGAGTCAAAAGCCTTTTGGAAGTCCACCATTAATAGGTACCAGTCTTCGTTGTCGTTATTTGCCGCTTCGATCACATCCGCTACCATTGAGACTGCGTCAGACAGCCGCCTACCAGGTAGGAAGCCGTGCTGTTCTTCAGAAATTACCGTGCTCAAAACCTTCTTAATTCGGTTAGCAAGTAGCTTCGCCACCACCTTGTACGAGCTCGTCAGAAGGGTAATGGGCCTATAATTCTGTATCTGCTCCCTCGGTCCCTTCTTATGCAGAAGGATGGTTACTGCCTCCTGCACTTCCTTCGGGAGCACCCCGGACGCCTCGAACTGTTTCACAAAACCCATGAAATCGCCCTTCAGCAGATCCCAGTGTCGCTCAAAGAGCTCCTTCGGCAGCCCGTCACCGCCTGGAGACTTGTCCCTTGCCATGCCTTTCAGCGCTGCTTTCACCTCATCCTCTGTCCACTCGGCTTCAAGCCCAGCTACTTCACTCTCGTCGAGCGTTTTCCGCAGGTCAGGCTTCCAGCAGGGCAGGCCCGACGGAGGAGCCTCCGCAAACAGCAACGAGTAGAAACTGGAAGCAGCATCCAGGATCCCCCTCGTCCCCCTCAGCTCCACCCCTTGGAATGTCAACGCAGTAATCATTGTCCGTGTTTTCTTCGACTTTACTTTCCCGGACAGGACCTTCGACGCAATCTCCCCTTTCGTTTCTTCCTTGACCCCCGCCAGGAGATGCAGCCGGTCATTCTCCCCTTTCAGGTATGCCCCCAACTGCGACTCCTTGTCAGCCAGAAGTAAACGCAAGTCATCCCGTTGAGGCTCTCGCATCAGCTCCTGCTGCAAACCGGAGACTGCCAACTCCAGGTGCCGTAACGTCGCACGCACTCGCTTCCACTCTTCCGTCGCGTATCTCTTGAGCGCCGCTTTTAACTTGATAAGCAGGGAGCCAAAATTTCCAGACCCCTTCTCATGATGCTTCTCCGTAACCGCCTTGATCCTTTTCTCCACTCCTGGTTTCGCCGTGTCTGCAGACGGCAGCCGCCAGATGCTCGGGCCCATGTACAGCCTCAGGTTCGCTTGCAGCACCACCTTAACACCGCACTTGTGGTCCGAGACGCCTCTCAGCGACCGAGTGTGGGAGGCATCCGCCACTGCAGGGAGCAGCTCCGCCGACACCAGAATCCGGTCGATTCGCGAGCTCGACTTCGTCGCTCGAGCATAGAAGGAATACTCCCGAGCACCGGGGTTCAGCGCGCGGAAGACATCAGACATGAGGAGACCTCCAAATAACTGCATCAGTCTGTCATTCTCCCCTGACGACCCCCCCATTGGGGACTTATCCAAGAGCGGATCCTCCACCACATTGAGATCGCCCGCCAGCAGCAACCGGCTCCGTCCCGCCAGGTTCGTGAGAAAAGGACCCAGCGCATCCCTATAGAAAGTAACTCTGCTGCACGCACTCGCCGGGAGGTATGCAGCTAGAAGCGTGAAACTGAATGTGTCCCATTTAACCTCCGTAGCAATGAGCCTCCCTGAGGCGTGCGTTGTGATGTCATCGAAGACTAGTTGTCTGTTGTTGCTTACTATCGCCACCCCCCCCGCTCTTTCTGTGTTAGCCACAGCGAAGCAGTGATGGAAGTTAAGCCGCGTCCAGCACTCGTGATCCGGGGCTACTCTCGTGTCTGTGAGAATGAAGATGTCTGCTTCCTTCTTCGTCCATTTTTTCAAATTTCGCTGCTTTCCTCTGCTCCCGAGCCCATTAACATTCAGCTCGCACACCGAGAGTTTGCAAGGTTTATCCATTTAACCACTGAGTGAAAGCCCCACCGCATCCACGGGCTGTAGCCAAGTATCTGAAACAAACAGGGTTACCACTATATCGCAATGCATACAACATGGTTGAAACCAATGCTAACACACATGACTCCTCCTCTCCCTTGCCGATCTTCTCCCTAGATCCCATACTCCTTGCGCAGCACGCGGAGACTCAGATTGGCCTTGAGCACACGCGTCGCCGCACCCTGCTTCGCCAGCCCCCCCCGATGACGCTGGGATAGCACATGGTGAGCAGCTTGCTCGAAAGAACCACCTTTCCCGTTCTCGCAGCACTCCAGCAGGCAAACCCACTCCTCCCGATTGCTGGCCGTTGAGACCAGCACAAGCGCGGGGTCTTTGAGGACAATCTTGGTCGTCGCCGAGGCTACAGTCGCAGCCGCTGCACGGAGGAAAGGTAAGCAGCCGGACATCAGACACCACCAGCCGAGAAAAGACATCAACAGCAGAAAGAGGTAAGCAGCAAGCACCGTCTCTACCATTAAGCTCCTGGACCCTCTCCACTGTGAGGTTCCACTTGGAAATGTTGTTCTGCCGCTCTGTAACAAAGTCGTTGTGATTATGCACCGAATGCATACCCCCGCAGAGCGAGCACTTCAGAGCCGGGTAGTACACCATGATCTTCGAGCCAGGCGAGATCGGACTCTCAAAGAAGTGCAGCCACCGGAACTTGTCATTCTCATGTGCGACGACCAGTCCCTTAACCCGATCCGTGTCCAACCCCGAGACAGGGTGCACCACCCGATGGAAGCAGAAGCCAGACTTGAAGGCCGGGCGCTTGCAGATCTTCAGCGGGGAGACCGCAAGCGCTTCGTGAAGCATCTCCGGAGAAATCTCCGCAGCAACGCCCAGGAAGAGAACCTCGATAACCAGCGGGTCAGTGATCTTCCTCCTGGTATAGCTCGGGTCTTCTAGATACAACCAATCCAGGAAGATATACTTCCCGTCCACACACTGATGCTCAACGTGATTACACCAGACGAAATTAGCGTCAGAAGCATTGACAAAAACAACTTGCATACGACCATAGAGCTTCTTCGCAATGTAACCCGGGTTAAGATCCTAGAAGGTCGTTGTCTTAGCTGCATTCTCCGTAAGCTCATTGCAGTTCACCCATAAACCCAGCAGCTCCTTAACCGTCGCATGCGTGCGCCGAACCTCTTGCAGACGATCGCTGGGAATCAAGAGGGTGAGCGGAAAGCGCAGCTTCGCCGCCAGCTCCTCCTTCGCTTTCTCCTCAAAACATTCCATCGGGTCATGCGCCATGAGGCCATCATCATCATCATCAAGGAAGCAGGTGCGCCGAGCAGCACCAGATTCGACACCTTCTTCTTCCTCTGCAGAGTGATCCTCCTCCGCGTCTGACACAGCATCCTTAAAATCAGCATCCTTCCCTTTGCCATTATCTTGCTTCCCACCAGCAGCTTGCTCAATCCTGATGGCGGCCAGCTTAGCCGACAATGTCAGAGACTCCGTGTCATCTTCTGCAAAAAGCGTACGCGCCGACTTAGACGGGACGGCAGAAGCCGAGATCGGCTTTGACGAAGGACCTGCGGTTGGAGTCGCAAGCGTAACCGCAGCAGCAGCAGGGACCATCTTGGCAAGCTTAGCAGCCTTAGCAGCTCTTGCCTTCGGAGGCATGGCGTGATGGTGAAAAAGCCACCACAACCAGCTGAACTCTTGAGACAAAGCCTTTCTGAGTGCCTTAATACAGCCTCCAAAGCAAGCGTGCCAGACTTGGAGATCACGCCTTGGTAATGCTTTTGACTGCCTTGAGAACTTGCGATGGTTGTTGGAAAACGTGACGTAATCATGATGACAATGCACTGACTCAGCGACCTGTATAGAACCTGGGAGTCCCACATTGGTGTTAGATGCTGTTACCAAACGAGTCAACGCTCCAGGGAATCACGAATCAATGTCCTCTGTATTGTATCGCGAGAATCCCTTTTTGAAGACGAAGCTCGTTAGCGGGTTAACAGCGTGAGTAACACACGGGAGCACCGACATTGGTAGCTCCGAAAATCCAGGTGGCAGCCATGGCGGCCTTGGAGTCATTGTCATTCGGCTGTTGTGATCTGATCCACAAAGTGGACACGTGGAAACACAAGGTTTGGGGGACTCCTTGGGAAGCATTGACAGGTGGTCCAGCCATGGCAGGTCGTTAGTCTCGACTTCATCACAGGACTTCCTTCGACCTCACGGGGGCACGATTCCATCCTCGTAGTGATCGATAAGTTCTCCAAAATGGGTCACTTCATTCCAACCAACGCCACAGCTACAGCTGAAGCAACTGCTCGACTCTTCTTCGACCGCATCATCACCATCCACGGCATCCCCGCTACACTCATCTCGGACAGAGACCCCAAATTCACGAGTAAGTTATGGAAGGAGCTCATGGGACTGCTGGGGACTAAGCTTGCAATGTCTTCAGCATACCACCCCCAGACTGACAGACAGACAGAGCGACTCAATCAAGTGGTTGAACAGTTACTGCGCACAGCTTGCAAAGACGATGTCAGCCACTGGGACACACAGTTACTGACCCTAGAGTTCGCTTACAACAACGCGTCACATGCGTCCACTGGGAAAACTCCTTTCTTCCTGTGTTACGGACGGGAACCACTTACACCACAACAGCGAATCACACCGGCACACGTCCAAGCCGCACATGACTTCATCACCACCATGCAGCAGCTATGGGAGAAGACTCAGCGACGTCTCACCACGATGCAGACCTCCCAGAAGCAGTATGCCGATCGACAGCGACGAGATCACTCAGTAGCAGTTGGAGATCAGGTGCTTCTTGACACGCGCAACTTGAACTTGTCTCACCTACCATCCAAACTCCGGCCTCGCTTCTGTGGTCCTTTTCTCGTTGAGGCACAGGTGACACCAGTAACATTCCGCTTGCGCTTACCAGATACGTGGAAGCTTCACAACGCTTTCCATGTCCAACTACTGAAACCCTACAAGGACCCCAACAAACAGTTCCAGGGACGGCAGCTACCGCCACCACCTCCTGTTCTCATACAGAATGAACCCGAGTACGAGATCGAGCGCGTTCTCACTCATCGGCGCCGCGGCGGCAAGGCCCTCGAGTTCCTGATACGCTGGAAGGGATATGACCCCACTGAGGACAGTTGGGTTGCAGAAGCTGATATGGGCAACGCACGTCGTGCTCTCAAGGACTATCTTGTCAAGCAGGGTGTATCTCACGCCACCCAGCTTTGAAGGGGGGACGTGTGAGAGTACGACGGCTTATGCTGGCTTTGCTAGCTTGCCTAGACTTTATTATGCTATATATAGCTTGTGTTTTATTTATCATGCATAGATATGCTTGATTTCCTAGGTTAGGTGCATTCCTATATTTTATTATAGTTATAGCTCCGAACCAGGTTACGTGTACCGAACTCAAGCCTTTTCGGTTGCCACCGAATTGCTTTCTACTGAGTTCTGGAAGGTTCTGTTCGGGACGCTTCGTGACCCTCAAAACATTCGCGTAACACCTGGGTAACTGGCCTTGTGTCGAGACTATATACAGCCTCGTGTTGTACCCAGGTGAATCATTCAATTCAAACTCTCTTTCCTGAGCTCGATCCTAGATCCTCACACCGAGGGGGAAGTCGCCGGGGAAAGACGGGCTTCCGCCATAACTTTTCAGGGAACACTGGGATCTGCTAGGAGCTCCACTGGTGGATTTTGCTAAGAGTTTCGAGGAGTCTGGGAGCCTGGAGGAGTCCACTACCACGGCAGTCACGGTTTTACTGCACAAAAAGGGACCGAAGGATCAGTTAGGGAACTACAGACCAATTACGCTGCTGAACACGGTGTACAAGGTGCTAGCAAAGCTGCTAGCGAACAGGCTGAAGAAAGAACTGCACCTGGTAATCTCAGAAGGGCAGCATGGCTTCAAATTGGGAAGGTGCCTGGCGGATGCGGTATCGGTGGTAGCTGACGCGGTGGAAACGGCAGGAAACGGGGGAGAAGACTGGTACCTCCTCATGGTCGATTTCCAGAAGGCGTACGATACGGTAGCAAGACCGTACCTGTTCGAAAGCCTCCGCAAGCTCGGAATACCGGAACAGTTTGTGAGTTGGACAGAAGGGTTGCACCGAGGCTCCGGCACGACGATAGCGATAAACGGCTGGGTCGGCGACCGTGTGGAGATGCAGAGGGGGGTGCGACAAGGGTGTCCACTGGCCCCGTACCTGTTTCTGTGCGCTCTGGAGCCGCTCTGCCTGGAGATTGGGAGGAAAGGGCTGGGGGTGAAGCTAGAGGGAAGTGAGGAGCTAGCGTACGTAGGCTACGCTGACGACACTACGCTTTTACTCAAAGGGGAAGACCAACTGAGATCGGCGGCGAAAGTTTTGGAAAGGTTTGGCGACCAGTCGGGACTACGGACAAACAGAGAAAAGTCGGTGGTGATTCTGCTGGGGAGGAACAGAGGGAAACAGTCAGCGGACGGGTTGGATTTCAAATGGGCCGAGGACGGAGTACCAGAACGACTGCTGGGCATCTGGATCTCGTCAGACGGCGATGGCGGGCCATCCTGGGAAAAGGCATGGGAGCGCGGGAAGGAGGAGTTAGTCAAGTGGGAAAGTCATCACCTCCTCACAGCAGCAAGAGTAACGGTGATCAACGCGTACATAATGCCGATCTTCATCTTCCAAGCGCAGGTATACCCACCACCGGAGGAGCTGCGGAAGCGGATTCAAAAAACATGCGACAACTATGTCTCAAGCGGTCAGGCCACGGCGGACAAGCTTTTCGTCTTGTGGAGCGGGGAGCTGGCTCGACTACCAAAGAAGGAGGGAGGATTGGGCCTGGTTGACCCAAAGGCGAGAATCGACAGCATGGCAATCAGAATGGTGGCAAAAATGCTCGCAGAAGAGGGGGGCACCAAGGGATGGCTAGCGGAGAAGGCAGCGGCGCTGCCGCAGGGAATCTCCGTACGCGAACATTCCGGAGCCGGGGAACACATGGGAAGCTTGTCAGGAGAAACTGTGCTTCAACCACCACGTCATGTTTAGAGGGAAAAGCCTGTACGGGAACCAGCAAGGGACGGAGAAGATCCACACGGCGAAGCTTGAGGACCTGATAGAAGGACCGGGAGGGGAACGAGCGGTTAAGAGCAAGGAGACTCTCACGGCAGAGCTAGGGAGCGTTGCGGCGGCAAGGTGGGCACTGATGGCATACGTGGCAACGCCAAAAGAATTGAAGAAGCTACTAACGGCAAGAAAAAAGGCGGCTAGAGTGGTCGAAGCGGCAAAAACAGTGAGAACATACCTCCCCAGGACACTGGAGTACTTGTATTGGGAGGTGAACGGAACAACTGACGGGAAAGTGGCGGTGACGAGCCTGGAGAAAATGGAGGGAGCGAGGCTGCAGGAGGGGGAGCGGCCGATCACAGCAGTGTTCAGAGCAGCAAGTGTGGAGCCAGTAGTCACCAGAGGGGGCAGAGTGCTGGGGGTAATGGGTGCACCAGGGACGAAGCTGAGACAGTCAAAGCTCCTAGAAGAGGATGGGGCACCGGCGAGGATTAAGACAATCAGGCGAGAACTAACGCGGCCCACGACGGCCTCAAGGAAGAGAAGCGAATGGGAGGAAAGGTAGGGGCGGAAGATTGACTGGAGGAAGGTAGAGAGCAAGAGGGAAGCAGCAACAATTTCCAGAAGAGCAAGAGACGTGATTCTAAGGATGCACAGTTTGAATCTACAAGTGGGTGGCAGGCTGAAATGTTTGGGAGAAAGGGCGAAATCCTCGCACTGTGGGGAGCATGAAACCCTAGAGCACTGCATGCTTGACTGCCCGGTGGTCCAACCGGTAATTGGCGCGCTGCTGCGGTCACTACGGCTGTTGGATCCGTCGAACGTCCCAGCCTCACTAGGGGACGTACTGCTCGGAGAACGAGGAACACAATCAGGTTTCCCAGCAATGACTCTGGTGGCAATGACTTGCCGCCACATCTGGCTGGCAAGGTGTGACATGGTGTGGAGAGGGGAGGCGTTTCAGCGGAAGAAAGTGGCGAGGGGGGCAATCCGGGATTTTGCGCTGCATGCGCAAATCTACCGCACAGAGCTGACACGCAAGGCATGGAAGAAGGGTACAGACGTCTTCCTTGGCTTCCCCACTAACGCCCCGCCGTGGCAGTTCTACTACCCACGCGACCGTCACGTGTTCTCCTCCCAGGACGTCACCTTTGACGAGTCGGTCTGTTTCTACAGACTACACCCGCACGCGTCCCACCCGGTTCCCCTAGCGCCTCTCTTCCTGGTACCAGTCCCCCCCCCGGTAGACCCCCTCCCCCCACAGGGTCCTGCTCCCTCAGGTGTGTCTCAGGTAGACCCATTCCTCTTGGTTGAGCCTTTGGAGATCTCTTCTGACTCCTCTGGCCCAGCTGAGGGGGGTGACCACGCCGCTGACGACACGGCGGCCACTCGCCGCTCTCCACGCTTGGAGACCCCCCCTGGTTTTCCGCCTCGGCCGTCTTCGCCACCTCCGCAGCCTGCTGCTGTGGACTCTGGAGCTGAGACTGCTGGTGCTGAGCCTGGGGATGCTGAGACAGAGGGTGATGGTTCTGGGGGTGCCGCGACTGGGGGTGCTGCGACTGGGGGTGCTGGTTCTGGGGGTGCGGCGAC